TCGTGAATGTTCAGTGTTTACTGCGGGGGGCGGGCGGGAAAGACGGTGTGACATGCGGAGGAAATGAGGAGAGCCCTGTGTCACCTCAGCCTGCCGGTCCCCGGTGTGCCCCGGGCTGGGGGCGGGCGGGCAGCGGCCTTGCACAGGGGCCTTTCCCGGGAGCGGAGGAGACAGGCTGCGATTCCTGCCCCAGCCCCAGAATCAGGAAGAAAAAGCCTTTCCTTTCAGCAGAGACTCATGCATCAAACTTCAATTTTCCGGACGATTGAATTAGTGATTTTTTTTCTCCTGAACTAAAATACACTTAAGTCTTTGGGATTAATTACCACGTTCTGGTCCCTCAGACTGTAGTATTAGTTATCGTTGCCATATTCGACATCAGCTCTGACACCTCATAAAATAAGGAACTGAATTTCACTGACTCAACCTGCTTCAACCCTGTTGGATAATTCAGAAGGGGGCTTTATTCTCCGTCTGGGAGCCCTGTGTGAAGTGAACAAGATCAAATATGGATCTTCTCCACACCCCTCAGGAGAAAAAAAACAAAAAACCAAACGCTTAAGTCCCGTCCCCCCCCCAACACTAAACAGTGGCTTTTCCAAGCAGACAACACCCCCCACCGCCTCCTCCCCTCCCGCTCCCTTCACACCTCCAAACGAAATCTAAGGCAGTGTCAAGTTTGGGGATGAAGGATGGGGATGGCAGGGGTGGGAGGATGGGCGGGAGCGGGGGGACACGCAGGAGGGCATGTCCGGCTCCTGCGTTTGAGAAATGGGGTTTCTGCCGGGGAGGGAACAGCGATGGTCGAAGTGCGGGCTGGACCGAGACCCTCGGCTGTCGCCACGCCCGCTCTGCCCCTGCCCGCACCTGCCCGAGCCCGGTGCCCGCACCCGCCTCGACGCGAGGGACACGAGGCAGCGCTGCCCCCGACGGGGCGGGTGATGAGCGGTCTCTGGGCCTCCAGCTCGGTCCCGCAAGGCACTTCCATGTTCCCACACACCCTTTTGCCCATTGCTAGTTTTCACCTCTCCGGGCCAGGACCTGGGGTGTTTATGGGGATTAACGCCTTTATTTTTCTTGTCGGGAGTCACTTGAGAGAGGCCTGGGTCTCCCTCTACCCCGTGCCCACCTTTTCCCAGGGCGAACCGTGGCGAGCCAGTGCCCAGGGCACGGAGCACCGGGCTGGGGGCGAGAAGCTCCCAAACGCTGAGGGTTTGCCAGGACTGTGCCCCCCGCTGTGAATCGCGCAGGAAGTACTGGGGGCAGGTTGAAGGCCAGACAAGGGGACAGCCGTCCCAGGTGTCCCCGGCCAGGAAGTTCCAGCTGGGGGTCTCGGCCCACTGCCCTCCTTCTCCGGGATAGCACTGGGCACGGACGGGAGCGGCCGGCGGCGAGGCAGATACGGAGACCCCTAATTTGGGGTAAATCTGGGAATCTGGGGCGGGCAGGAGGCGTTCCATGCCGCGTCCATGGCAGCAGTCCTCTGAGTGGAACGGGAAGGGCTGCGGCTGGGTCAGCCCAGAGGGCACGATTCAGTGCTGTCACTGCGTCCCTATTGCTGCTGCGGGGGGAAAAAAACACCCACAAACCATCCGACAAACAAACAAGAGTCCCACTCCCACACCCACCCACCCACCCCCGCCCCCCTAAGAAAAGAACAGAAACCAGAAAAAAACCCAAACAAACATACGGCAAAAAAAAAAAAAAAAAAAAAAAAAAAAAAAAAAAAAAAAAAAACCAAAAAAAAAAAAAAAAAAAAAAAAAAAAAAAAAAAAAAAAAAAAAAAAAAAAAAAAAAAAAAAAAAAAAACACCAAAAAAACCCAAACAAAAAACGAAAAACAAAAATTGTATCTAAAATTCGAGGCAGAGCAAACCCCGAGCAATAAATCTACTCATGTAGGTGATCCCAGAGAACGGCACATTTCAAACTGGATGATAAACGAATGGCACAAGCCAGAGATTCATTTTTAAGCTAAAAAAAAAAAAACCAAAAAAACAACAAACAACTTTTGTTTGTCAAAATACAGATTAAACAGCCAAAATCACAGTTATCTGGAAATAGGGGGCTAGCCAAATTAACGGGCTACAAATCTTCAGGAGGAGGCTTTATTTACTAACCCGCCCCAGCCACGTGTGGTAAACTTCTGCGGGTGCAAGGCGGCCCGGCCTCTTCTCTTTGCACTCAGAAGTCAATAGATCAGAAACCCAAATTAACTCCCAGCCTATTTTCCATACACCCAGCCACTTTCTTTTTTTTTTTTTTTCCTTTTCTTTTCTTTTTTCTTTTTTTTTTTTTTTTTTTTTTATTTCTTGGTTTTTGTGAATTGTACTGTTTGCAGCCTCATTAAATCCATTCCAAGACAAAAGAATAAAAGACTGGGGGGAGGGAGGGGACAGGAGGGGAGGGGGAACAGGAGAGGGAATGGGGAAAGAAACAGATAAAGAAAACAAATAAAGCCCTTTAACTAGATCTTCACATAAATGTCACAGTTTCTCAGCATTTACGATTTCCCTGTTTAGCATAAAAACACTTAAGGACAAGATTGAAGGCTTTCCGAGAGATCTGGACAGAAGTCAAAGCTATCATTCGGAGGTTAAAAAAAAAAAAAAAAGAAAGAAAAAAGAAAAAAAGAAGGGATGGCGGAGTGGGGGGCGGGAGGTGGCGGAAAACAAGTGCTCTTCAAATAATACTAAAGAAAAGTGAATTTCATTGTAATTCATAGGCTTGTTCCAAATACCAAGAGAGGAAGAAAAAAGAATAGAAGAGCACAGATGCCCCGACGAAGGGAGAACAGCTCTGCTCCCATTGTTGTGGAGTTAAACAGTGGAAGGGAGGGTTAACCTAATCCATCAAATTGTCTGGAAATTGTGAAGAAAATTCAAAAACCATATGGTCTCCAAGCGCTCGCCTTCTCTCTGCTGCGGAGGGGCACGCTTGTTTCAGCATGGCGAACCGCAGGAGGCTGTATATGCTCCATTGTCGCTTGTCACTTCAGAGAAGAGGGCTCATTTGTCCCCAGTTTTCATGCTTTACGCTAAAAATTACAACCCCATCCATTCTCAAAGAGGAGAAAGATTTATTTAGCCTCGGAGAAACTGGACCAAAAAAAAAAAAAAAATCCAACCCACAAACCAACCCTGTTTTATCTGGACACTTCTCTGCCGACTCCACCACTGTACACCAGATTTGCCTTTCTCACATAAATTTTGCAAAGAATAGGGAGAAACACAGGTTGCTCGACAAAAAAAACAAGTCACGCTGCCAAGAGAAAACACATTCACCAGAGCTTTAATTTTGGCTGGAAAAAAAA